CTATCACTCCTATCTGATCTTGCTCCAAATCTTCTGTAACCCCTTGTGTCCTAGTGGCTTCCCGCCTTGCTTGAGGGTGAAAGGCTTAAAAAAAAGAAAAAAGGCGCCAAATTATTCGGAGTTGGCTGCGTTTACGAGAATGCACCTCTAGATAGATTGCCAACAATAAATATAAAGTTACTATGTGTCCATAAATTGAGGGCTTTTGACAACTATTGACCAGTTCCGTATACTTTCATCTAAGTAATTTTTCATACCAATTTTCCACAATACAAGTCCTAAGAGCCACTCAAGTCAGAGGGTTTTGTATGAGCGTAAGAAATGGCAAGTAGTGAAGTTCATGCGGTTAGCAAAAAAGATAATATTTAACTAGAATTGAAGAGGTCAATTAGGAAAACATTCTGCCGGACGTCTATTTCTGATAGCGGCAGTTCTTAGGAAATAGGTGTTCTTACTAATTCAATAATAAGCGAATGAGGATGATACACACTTCTGTACGTGGTATGGTGGGTCCCAGTTGTGAGGGCCAGTGTTGGTGGGATTAAGGTATGTAGCTCGCCAGAATTTCCTATGAAAATAGCGAAAGGCTCGTGACGTTTCGTCCGTGGTAAAGGCGGGTGTAGGGAGGAATATCACCCTCAACTCCGCGTAGACCCTTTCAGATCTACCTAGACAGGCAAGTGAAGAATGGTCAGCTTCAGCTCAGGAAGTCTTGGGCGTGATATGATTTTTCACGAATTTTCGAAAGGAACCACAGGCTGGAATCGTCTTCCCAAGAAGACATTATCACGCCCACTTGGACAAATCAAGTGCGATGAGGCTCAAATGCGGGTCTTAGGTCCGGAGAATAATGCTCTGTCTACTCGAACTCGCGCCAGTGTATTAAGTTTTTGTTGGTTTTGTTTTTCACATAACACCGGTTTTACCGGAAGCGTTATGCTATCAATTTTCTCTATCGTACTTCACACTTGTACACACCGTCTTCTGGATTCTTGCTTCTCGGTCAGCTTCGATTTGGGAAATTTAAATGCAGTGGCAAGCATTATCCTCTATCTTCTTAATTCTTGTGTAAGATTATTGATATGTTGGTATAGTTAATGACAGAAATTAAAATGCAGGAAACGTACAGCGATATAGCAAAAATAAAAATTGAGATACGTGTTGACATTAATAACAAGAATTTGTATTTTTCTTTTTCCTGATGTGAATTTTGTATGGTGTGTGTTAAAAAAGGTTCGCGATGTTACTGTCTCTCTTGTTTCTTTAAAAGTTTGTGCTTATTTGTTCGGTTTGCTCCCAGAATATCGTTGGTGAGGATAACGTTTGAGATCATCGGATTTCGGTTTTACGGAGGCAGGAGGATACGTGAATGTTGGACTATTTTACTACTGCTCTTGCTACTCTACTGACCCTACTGTCCTAAATGCCATCGCTTGTGGTGGAAGGGACGTTTTTATAATCAGAATTTTAGAAGGATGAAATATATTTCTCATCTTTCATCACGGGTAGCAAGGTTGTTTTTAGGATGAGGATATTTTTTTATCTACATTTCAGGTATGATGCAATGTCCTATTTTCTATCATCACTGGTGGCAAGGTTATTTTTAGAATGATGAATTATCATCATCATTCTGGATGATAACACTTGTTCTTTTATTGTTCTCTATCCTTAATAACATCTTTTCAACCTATCTAACAAACTGTAGCTAATTACGTCTTAGTGGCTTTATTACCTTACTTGGGCGAAATAGTTAAAAAAATGTTTTCAAAATTAAAATAAGATATTTGTCGGTGCATATGACCCACTTTTAACATAAGAAAAAGTCTACTTTTTAAAAACTTAAAAGTGAAAATTTTCCAAACTAACAGAAAAAAATAAAAATCAATGTATAAGCTTTCTGAGCTCTCTTGATTACTAATGTATTATTCCTTTATTAGGAAAAGAAAAACAAGGAGCATCCATTGATTAGCGTCGAGAATTGTGTTCTGTTACCATAATGATGTAATATCTCAGCAGGGGAGATCATGATGCGTGTGGGATGTTCATATAAATATTAAAGCTGCTGATGCAAGACTCTTCCTTAAGACGAATAGAGTTCTCAAGTCACTGCGCGCTCATCTAAAAAACAAAAAAACATCGATCCCGGCTTGAGGCAATCGGATATCTTGCCACACTGATGATCTGCGAAACAGTCTGTCTGTAGATGACTATATATATATATATATATATATATATATATATACACATATATATATATATATATATATATATATATATATATATATATATATGTCTATTTGTCTAGCAATACCTCGTTTAAGCAAGTTTCACTAAAGACGATTGAAAAAGTACTGCGATTAAGCTTTTATTTTATTTTAATTGTGTTCGTATAAGTCTTCTCTTTTCTGGGCATAAAGTGTGCAAAAATTGTCCAAATGTGCTGTATATTCGAGCGTTTTCGGCTATTCTGGAATAATTATGTATATATATATATATATATATATATATATATATATATATATATATATATATATATGTGTGTGTGTGTGTGTGTGTGTGTATCAGTATGAGTGTGATAAAAGTGTGTTACGTATCATGTCGTCATTTCAAACCAAAAAAAAAAAAAAATTGTTTATGTAAAAGTATTAAATTGCTTTTGTTTTCTCTTTTAACACACACACACACACATATTATATATATATATATATATATATATATATATATATATATGTATGTTGTATGTTTGTGTGTGTAAATATTTGGATATAACAAAAATTTATCCGTAAAAAAAATTTCTGTTTCTTTTTATTCATATATATGTGTGTTTTTGTGTGTGATTGCGTATGCATGATTTCTAATGTAGGTTTGTATGTGTGATATATCATGGCTCAGTTGTAAACAGACGAAGAAAATAAAAAAGAGAGAGTAAGTTGAACTAAATGGCCGCCCTTATTGATTTCCGACTACATGAGTTGTGAATATTGCTTTTAACTAAACATTAGTTTCTCATTAAAATATATATATATATATATATATATATATATATATATATATATATATATATATATATGAGGAAATATGAAAATAACAAAAAACTTTATTCACGCGAAATTTCATTCCATCATTTGAAATGATGTCTACGCATGCGTATCGGCCTGATTTTATGAGCTGTATCGTACAGACATTTTGTGCATAGCTTTTTACCAACATATTTATATGAAAAAAATTAAAAAAAATGGATGAAATAAAATAACAACTTAAGAAATATAAGAACGAAAATAAAACAACTATCACAAACAGAAATGTAAAGGAGTAAAAGAGACTAGAATTTAACAGCGATTATATCAATAACGTTTTCTACAATAACCATCAGACGATGAATAAATGGCATCGTATAGGCAGGAATACTTATTTATGACAGAGAAATAAATATAACACTAGCAAAAGGGACGAAACTCTGTAAATTACAGAACTTAATTTTTTTCATCTGTCAAAGTAAACACTATTTCCTCGACTCGCTAGACATTTTTAGACCTCTTACGAAATCACAACACCAGGAAAAAAAAATAATCTCATTTTCACACGAATAAAGAATGTATTTTAGAGTGCAGCCAGGTGTTGCACTTTTGATTTCTGTAAAATGCATGTTTTCACATGGCGGTATTTTTAGCTCCACAACCAGAGTGTTTTGATTTCAGATTTTTGCTTACCCCGGAAAATTTGCTAACCAAAACAAATGTTTAACCCATAGCTGTGTGTGGAGAAGATATTATCCAAACCTCGGCCAAGTTTAATTGAGGCATAGTGAATGCAACGAACATGGCCGGAATTTGAACTCGACGAGCCGATCCCACTTTTTCTACAATTCCCCTGCAAGATCCAAATGAATTGACATGTCCCTTAAGGAATTGCATTCCTGACCAAACCAAATTCAAGAATAATTATTTCGGGCATACTACTACATGCCTATCCAGAAGACACTCTAATCAATCTCAGGTCCCATTTAGTCGTACACGGAAACCTACCAAATTCCGTTCGCAAATTATTCGTAAAATGTACGACCATAAGACCCTCACCCGGAAGTCAAAATAGGCTAAAAATAATGACTGTATTAATAATAAAAAATAAAAAAAAAAGAAGAAAAAGCCAACATTCAACAATATCAAATATGAACACACCCATAATGCGCTGAACGTATTTGAAAAAAAAAGAAAAAAGTTTGAAAAATATCAATACACATATATAAAAATCCACATATACAGTTAAGAATTTTTAAAAAAATCCATTATAAAGGCTACTAGAGTAGCCGAAATCTCGCGGATATACAGATCATTTGGAGAGTTTTTACTTAGAACAAAAAAGAAAACGCTTATAAGACAAGAAAAAAATTAATAAAAATCTTTATCACAGTACCTTGTCAGTCGTCTTTAATAAAGTTAATAATATATATATATATATATATATATATATATATATATATATATATATGCATGCTGTGTGTGTGTGTATGTTTGTGTGTAATTATTTAATTTAATGTATTTGTTGAGATATATTCTCATATTTACTATTGTAAAGATGAACTCGATGTATAGTGTAATTTTGAGGTAAATAATTTATCTGTAGGCAAATAATTCAATAAAATGTTTACACACACGTGCGCGCATATACATACATACAAACACACACACACATATATATATATATATATATATATATATATATATATATATAAAGTATACATATTTATAACTAAATGTTATTTACAATTCGCATTGTGTATTATTTCAGATACAATCAGTATCTTCTTTCTGACTGTTTTTCATTGTTGCCTTGGAGATGAATAGTGTGTTGTATTGAATATGTTGTCCCAAGTTCTAAGATCATGTTTTATAAATCATATTCTAGTCGCAATAATTCTACATTCAGAGTGATAGCATATTGATCCGTTTCGGCACAAAATAAAGACGGAAATTATATTTCAATTCGGTGATGAGAAAGAATCAAGCTGTTGAGAAATGAAAACGTAAGGGTAAAGAGCTCACATGAAAGGTGGTCGGCGATGGCAACTTTATGAAGAAATCTGTGTCTTTATAGTAAAGAAAGGGGAAAAAAAAGAAAGTACTTTCATAATCAATAAAAAAAGAACCTTTATAAAAGTAAAAAAAATAAGTGAAGATTAAGAAAACAATGGAGAGTGAGTGGGAACCTAGACAGGTCGATCTTGAGACTACGTACCTTTTATACACATTGGGACGACAAAAAATTCTGTAGACCTCCAAAAAGACATAATAAAATATTGCATGTATCATAGCACTTAGCGAGTTTGTCATCATGATTCGAACTGAAATACGACCTTTGGTTTGGTTTGGTTTAAGCATATAAACCTCATTTAATTTAATGCCGACAAAATTTTTATTCCTGGTCATATTTTGTTTTGTCAAAAAATCAATTTCTGGTAATAATTTTCATTCAAAAATGTATTGCTGGTAATAATTTTTTTTTTCAAAAAACTATTGCTGATAATATTTTTTCCTCAAAAATCGTACATCTAGAAATATATTTTTTTTTCAAAAATGTATTGCTAGTAATAACTATTTTTTAAAATACATTGTTTGTAATATTTTTTTCCAAAAATATATTGCTGGTAATAGTTTTCTTTCTTCAAAAATTTATTGCTGGGAATAATTTTTTTAAAAAAGTGTTATGGGCTCCACCCCTTTTTCATACAAGTGGACTCGACCAGTGTGTACTTGTACTGCTGGCATTAAATACACAGAGTCAGAGTAGACAGTGATTGTGATTGAGTTGGAGGTAGAGTAATAGTGTGAGGTAACCGCTTGTAGAAGTCACAGTTACAAGCACATAGACTCTAAGGAAGTCCTACTTCAAGACTGGATTTACCAGACTGTGTATATATATTATTATTGCTACTAACCACGTTTCTGAATTTACTAACAGTATTACCAATTGTGTTATTGTGTAAATACATTTATTTGTTATATTTCATTCCTGCGTTTGTCATTCATTGGGGACCGGATGTCATCTTGGAATCCACAAGAAAAAAGTATTTCCGGTATTAAAACCTGTTTTTACACTTTCATAGTGTTTTTTATCCCAGTTTCGGGGTTAACTATTCGCCCATAGCTGAGACCTTAGCAGGTGGTACCACCTCTGGTCAGGGCGGACCTGGTAACACCAGCAATTAAGAGGTGGTTCCACGCTCTTCAAAACCTCTTGATCATAGGCCTTGCTGCTGGACGTAGTTTATCGTCTTACCCAGGACGCGGGTGTAGTTTATCGTCATACCCAGGACAGGAAATTTGATCTTTAAAGTATCTTTTAACCTTGTATCCTTTTGCTAAACACAGAAATATCTCTACTATTTATGGCCAAATGAAACAAGACGAAAAAAATACAGTTAAAATATTTGTCTTTTTGTTTCAGTTGCTGAAATTTCCAGCCTTTCTCTGGTAAATTTCGCACTCAGAGACATTCGGAATAAATGCAGATTCGGGACTTGGAAGGAGAATAAAGCATCATGAAATTCTTTAAAGCTGCGAAGCTGTGGAGATCTATGATCACACACATTTTGAAGAGACATGGCAAATAAAATAACAAAATATAGGCATACCTAGTCACGGTGATTACAGCCCTGCAGTCGAACCGTCTCAGTAAACTGAAGATGGATATTTGGCAGATACTGACGCCATCTTGACACGAGTTGCGCAAACTCGGTAAATTTTGTTCCTGACATGTATGTATTTACGCCCCCACCTCATTTAACTTAGCATCCTGCAAGATTGCATGCATATCACAAAATATGCGACTTACCTCCGCCTCGTCAAATATTATGAGATTACATGAATATATAATAGAAATACATTAAAAAGGAATGTGTTTTTCAGTGAGTCAAATAGGAAATACTAATAGGCTTATGATAATTTGCAATAACCATTTGCGATAATTTTTAGTTTTTATTTATTACTTCTGTCGGTAATCTTAAAGAGCTGCAAAGCCAAAATATGAATGTAGTAACTCAACTAATTTTCCTAAATAGTCTCATTAGATATAGATTCTCAATTGGATATATATATATATATATATATATATATATATATATATATATTAATCGAAATCTTTTATAAAATAAGCAAGCCAATACCAAATGGGGAAAAAAGGTATTAAAAAAGAAAGAACCAAGAACATGTACGTTAACCGAAAATAATCATCCAGCATGAAAGTCCAAGGCTCAAAGAAAAAAAAAAACGATGCGATTGAGCAAAATAACTAAATAAAGTGCTCAATGCAATGAGTAGACCTAGTTAGATCTAGAGAGCCAGACAAACCTATCAAGGTTTCTGCTTAGATGAAACCTTGGTAGGTTTGTCTGGCTCTCTAGGTTTAACTATATATATATATATATATATATATATATATATATAGGAATAATCCGTTGGTATATAATCCAATTAATACAATATAAAATAATAAAACTGATTCACACATAGAGCTCACTGCTGTAATTAAACAGAGAAATTGAGATAAATTACAAGGATTTTCTAACCAGTTGAGGATGATAAATTATTGAAATAATTATTTTTATTCCAATAATTTATTATCCTTGACTGGTTAGAAAATCCTTGTAATTTCTATCAATTTACAAGGTGATAATGGTCATTGTATGATATAAGGCATGTGTTTACATTTGTAAAAAGAGTACGCTAGATTTAGCTGTTTCTCTCTGTCGAATAAAGATATCTCAGTGGTAGAAACTCTGACTGACACCAATTCGGTTTCGATCCGGGCTTGTGGCATTCGGATGTCTATTCGCACTGAGAAGTTGTGATACAGCGAAACAGTACTGTCTATATATATATATATATATAACATCATGGTTAAATATAGATAGATATTCGAGCGAGCGATCGTATAAAAATGCATATAAATACTGTATAGAGAAAGACAAAAATAGTGCTCAGTGTTAATTAACAGTGCTATATAATATATATTGAGGCATATAAAAAATTCCTTACATTGTAAGGTATTTTGTATATGCTTTGCATTTCGCTAATGGCATTGTATATATATATATATATATATATATATATATATATATATATGTATGTATCAACTGAGCAAATACATTTACATTTAACATGTAAATCTATATTATTGAAAAATAGCGAAGCATACATTAAAAAATAAAAAAAAGAAGATGACTTCGATATACCACGAAGATTGTTCGATTGTGTTGAGGTTTCGCCATTAATAGGCCTATATATCATTGTTATATACCGTACCTATGGGTATGTCCCAATCCTCGTAAATACGTCGGACACTATTGTAAGTGAAGGGTAATATGGTGTCTAAGTAGTCCACCACAAGAAGTGGTTTACCTACTTCACGCCGCTGGCGAGTATTGTATTTTGTTGATGTTATAAAGGTTATCATTTCATTTCCAACCTCCGTTTTCGTTATTCCTTACTCAGTAATACTTCCTAGGTGACAGCAATTATATATAAGATCAACGAAATAGTACGCATAGACAACTACGGACTGTATAGGGATGACGAGTTGATAATAAACAAGGGTAAATGACAATGTAACAGAATATGTTTTTCAAACTCTTCAAAACCCTCGACTTTGGAATAGAGAACGATATAAATAAAAAAGGGTGTCCAGTATTTAGATGAAACCCAACACAAAATTGAGGTACGTGAACGCTGGATCTATGCACCCTGCGAGTATAATAAAGCACACCCCTAAAGGAATAGACTGCAGGTTATCTAGAAATTCTTATTGTAAAAGTTTAAACCTTAATAAAAAGAGTATGAAAAGAGTTTAAACCTTAAAAAAAGAATGTGAAAAGAGTTTAAAGCTTAAGAAAGAGTATGAAAAGAGTTTAAACCTTAAAAAAAGAGTATGAAAAGAGTTTAAACCTTAAAAAAAGAGTATGAAAAGAGTTTAAACTTTAAAAAAATATGAAAAGAGTTTAAACCTTAAAAAAAGCAAAAAAAAAAAAAAAAAAATTAAAAGTAATTCGCAAAAAAGAAAAAAAAATATTATTCGGTTTAAACCTAACTCCTCATTTAGAGGTTAAATGTAAAAAAGGGAAAATATTTTTAAATTGCTTAATACTCACCTCCCTAAATACAAAATATCTTTAATAAAAATACAGTTAATTTAAGTTATTGCTGACCTAGTAATTTGGAAACTACAATAAAGAGACAAAACACCAGGAATTTCAAAGCTAACGTGCAGCAAGATATCTTTAACAGTGAAATATGTAACTGTACAGATAAAGGTAAATGTCCAGGAGATGGAATTTGCAAAAAGGAAAAAGTAATCTATACAGCCGAAGTAAAAAACATAAATGACCAGATCAAAATATACGTGGTCTGTACTGAAGGCAGCTTCAAGAAGTGATGGTATAATCACAAGTCATCATTCAAGCTAGAAAACCTTAGGAATTGTACCAGACTAACCAGTTACGCGTGGGATTTAAAGAAAAAATAACAAAGATCCGATTGTAAACTGGAAAATATTAAGAAGAGTCAAACCTTTCAGCAATCGTAGTGATATATGCAAACTGTGCCACGAAGAAAAATTGATAATAATAACATTTAGAGATTAAAAATATCTATTAAATGAAAGATCTGGAATAATGTAATGATGAATATACGCTGAAAAGTACTTTGAGTTCGTACGAACCCGCATGAAAGTATGTACGATTTATTTATCAACCTCCAGTACAATTCCAATACTTTTTCCTTACTCCTTACCTTTTATTACACTTCATGTTGTGCGTAAATATATGAATAATAAGGAAACCATTTAGTCTTTATCGTGATTAGCTGATCGCCTATATATATATATAGATAGTAGATAGATAGATATGAAAAAATATAGTTTAAAGGTGTGCTATATTTATGGAATAAAGTGCTCAATATCAGAGATAGAGCGTATGTAAATATAAATATAAAAGTGAACATTGAAGTCAACACTCAAAGGCGACAGACTGTTTCATGCTAGACGCAATCGAGAGGCCGCCTGGCGATTGCGTCTAGCATGAAACAGCCTGTTTCTTCTGAGTGTTGACTTCAATGGTCAATTTATATTGACCATTGAAGTCAACACTCAATATTCATATATATATATATATATATATATATATATATATATATATATATATATATATATGTGTGTGTGTGTGTGTGTGTGACTGCCAAAGGAAAGAATCCTCAATATTCGAACTTTTAGCATGAATTTGTTTCAAAAGAATTGATGAATATTCCAGAATTAAAATTATATTAGACTCGTTTCGTTCAAACGTTCCCAAAACAGAAACTAGAATGGAATTGGTATGTACCTGATGATACCACCTACTCTGAATTCATCAGAAATTTTAGTAAATATTCTAGTAAATATTTTAGTAAATATTAAACACCTGAACTAACTGGACGTACGGATCAGTTATAACAAATTTAGTATAGGAACTGTTATGGTCCAAGTTCCTTGTACCACGGTGATGGTCCAAGATTAGAACAAATGAAAGAATAACACGAACACAGGTATGGAATTCAAAGATATACTACGACAGAAATAGAAGTAGAAGTATTAGTAATGACTATCAGATTTGGTAAGAGTGAACTATGTTGTCCCGACAAGTATCACTATTCCAATGTCCTTACAATATGCTCTCAATTATCTCTCCTAGTCTTACAATCTCCTGATACCTCTTGACAGGCGCAGTATTTATAATGTCAGGAATAGTCCATTATTATTATGGGTAAGTTCCCATAACAATAATGAACAGAAAAAGATAGATAGATAGATAGATAGATAGATAGATAGATAGATAGATAATGAACAGAAAAAGATAGATAGATAGATAGATAGATAGATAGATAATGAACAGAAAAAGATAGATAGATAGATAGATAGATAGATAGATAGATAATGAACAGAAAAAGATAGATAGATAGATAGATAGATAGATAGATAATGAACAGAAAAAAGATAGATAGATAATGAACAGAAAAAAGATAGATAGATAGATAGATAGATAGATAGATAGATAGATGTTATGGTCCAAGTTCCTTGTACCACGGTGATGGTCTAAGGTTAGAACCAATGAAAGAATAACACGAACACTGGTATGGAATACAAAGATATATTACAACAGAAATATAATACAAAGAAGTAGAAGTATTAGTAATGACTATCAGACTTGGTTAGATTGAACTATGTTGTCTCAACATATCACTATTCCAATGTCCTTACAATATGCTCTCAATAATCTCTCCTAGTCTTACAATCTTTTGATACCTCTTGACAGGCGCAGTATTTATAATGTCTGGAATAGTCCATTATTATTATTATGGGTAAGTTCTCATAAGAGGAACAAAGGAAATTGAGCATATATTAGGATATGTCAGATTTGTTTTCACCCCATACTGGAAACTGCCAAAAAACCAAACCATTATTGGCGCTGCGGAATCACTAATGAATAACCGGACGAAATAAGAGAAACCACATCGCTTTACTTCCAACAGCAGTCACATCTGAAATGGATATCACATAGAATTTGAAAAGAAAATAATGTTGTTATCAAGATGTTGACATTCCATACGTCTTCAAATAAAAAGTTTCTGAAGGAAACGACACTGAAAAGATCTATAAAATTTACTGGACTTGAAAAAGACTTTTTTTTTTCCTGAAAGAAAATTGCATTAAAGGAGGTTGTTTTATAAAAAATTCAGTCGACAGTAGTACTGTCTGCTCGGTCAATAGATACAAATGTTTCCTTATGAGGAAATATCTAATATTACCTTTATATATATATATATATATATATATATATATATATATATATATATATATATATATATATATATGTGTGTGTGTATATATATATATATATATATATATATATGTATATATATATATATATATGTGTGTGTGTGTGTGTGTGTGTGTATATATATATATATATATTTTATATATATCGAGAAAGAGAGGGGGGAGAAAGAAAGAAATAGAAAGAATAAGAGAAATTGAGATTAATACGGAAATATCCATAAAAATAATATATTTTAAAATTGAAGATTAGGAGCCTCTGATGTAATCTAAGAAAAAAAAAAGATGGCGTTCTTACGTAAAAAGAGAATAAATAAATAAACTATTGGGGAGATTATTGAATTAAAGAAGTGAAGTGGAAATACAAAAAATTATCTGACCAACATCTGGGAGGCATCGGCTGTAAAGTTTTCAGGAAGGAAAATCTTCAAGAAAGAAGAAGAAGGGCAGTTTGCTTGGGAAAAGGCCGTAAGAGCTGGATGCTGAACCCAAAGAAACAAGCCTAATATGAATAAAAGTAATAATTGTCGTTCTAGATGACAATGTCTAATTGATGATAAGACTTACGATGGGAAGCGAAATGAAGAAGTGATTAAAAGAAGGATTACTAAAAGAAATATCGACGAAACAAAAGGAAAGAATCGAAAGAAAAGGGAGCAAACGTATAAATATGATAAAAGAAATAAACGGAAACTTGGAAGGAACCTAATTATCAAAAAAAAAAAAAATGAATGGACGGCCAGGAGTCTCATATATGAACAGAAAATACTGTTAACCCATAAACCGGTATAAGTTATATAATAAATAAAATCCGTTAGATTTATTAGGTTTTAAATATGACAGACTCTATAGACCGGCGCTACAAAATCCCAAACAGAAAGCCTCACCTAAAAACAAAGACCACAACGCTTGATGACATCTACCATTAGGAACAATTAATTAATGACATCTCTAATTAAATGGGAAAATTGTGATATAATCAATATGAAGATTGTCCACACTACCTCTTGTATCCTTAAAGAGGTTACAAACAAAGTTAGTACTCGAGTGAAAGGAACAGCTACACGGACATAGATGAAAAAAAGAGAGGTTTGTTGTAAAAGAGAACACACTACTGAAAGACAGGGAATTGGTTAGCAGGCTAGTAATTCCCGAATCAAGGTTATTTACCTTACCTCCCCGCGAGGCAAGATGTGGCATGAGGCCGCTTTTTAATGTGGAGCAAAAACCTAGCCCGTAGGCTCGAGCAAAGATTCCCCGTAAACCCCGTAAAAGATCAGGGTTGGGTAGCTATCTACCACCACAGACGAGACTCTGCTCTTCGGCATAGCCTCGTATAGCTTCCTCTCTGCCCTCGCGCAGAGAGTTCGACCAGCACAGCCGGGGACGAATCTCCAACTAATTCCTGAAACAAAGTTATTTACCTTACCTCCCCGCGAGGCAGGGTATGACACAAGGCCGTTTTTAATGCGGGGTAAAACAGAGCCCGTAGGCTCCGGCAAAAATTCTCCGTAGACACTTATACACGGGGTCGGGTAGCTGTCTACCACTTCAGACGATACTCTACCCTTATATATTTACTATATATATTTATTGATATATTCAGTCCAAAGTAGGCAATAAAGAGAGTGGAACATCCCATTACAACACCTTCCCCATCTAATTTTCCCATGAAATTTTGCGCAATATTTTGGAGTCAGGACATCACTGACTTTTTTCTCCTCTTCCTAGTACTTTTCCTTCTCACCAATACTAAAAACAAAACTCTTAGAAGGAAGTCCTCCACAATATGGAGAGATATCAGCTGCCATCTGATATCTTGCTAAGGACCTACCTGTATGCATCACAGAAATCGTTTTGATAATTATCTGTATTAGCAAATAATATCAACTTGATGGAGAAGACCTCCCAATAATCAGATCAAACGATCATTACAAAGTACGTCACTTAGTGAATCTAGTCTCTGAGTTCTTGATGAATTGTTTTTTTAGATAAAGCTGAAAAGACAAAGGACGATGGTTTCTATAAGACAGTGGTTACTAGCAGCTGAAAATAGAAAGGCACAAAGAGGGAGAGAAGTCCTCTCGCTCTTACGCGACAGGATCGACGCCCGTTGGACGGGTCGCTCCGTCAACTCCCCTAACCTATGCCTCGCTCGGCAATCAGCAGATGCTTACAACCGAACAAAATTTATCTACACCTAAAATCGTCTTGTTCTATTTCGTGGGTATAAATCTGGTCACAGAGTTATTTTTAAGCAACAAACGTTTGACTGATCGAAGCAGCATTCTTAGAACGAATTTGGTGTCTGATCTGATCTGCAACGCTACAACTACTAGAAAAATCGATAAAGGATCTATTCGCTCAATGAATGCCAATATTTCTTGTATAGAATCGGTTACTTTTACCATTCCCGTTATAAAAGTCAGGGACTTACACATCAATGCTTACTGTCCCTATTTTGGTCTTTGTTTGGTTTGGTTTGTTTTGATTTACGGTATATCAACCTGAATGGGTTATTTAAAACCGGCAAGATTTTTTATTGATGGTTGTTCGAAAATGTATTGCTGGTGATATGTTTTCGTCAAAAATGTATTGTTGGCATTCATTTTTGCTCAAAAAATTTGTAGCTGGTATTAAAACCTATTTTTACACTTTCATAGCGTTTTGACCCCAGTTTAGGAGTTAACTATTTGCTCATAGTTGGTAACCTAACAGGTGCTAACAGCGCGGATTAGGGTGGACCTGGAAACACCAGCAATTAAGAGGTGGTTCCACATTCCTCACAACCTCCTGATCAGTGGCCTTGCTGTCGTTTTACCCAGGACGCCGATGCAATTCTTACCCGGTACAGCCTATTTTGGTTAAAGAAGAGCTAGAAGCAGCAACGACAACAAGAAAAACAGAAACAAAAAAAAGAAAGATTGAAAAAAAAAAAAAAAGAATGAATTACTTCTTGAAGAAGACTATAAGAAAATTAAGAAAGACGGCAATGATTAAAATAGGACACGAAAAAGAAAAAAAAAGTAGCAGAAAGTAATGGAAAACGAACAAGAAGAAGAAGAAAGCAGAAAATGAAGGAAAAAGAGGAAAAATGTAATAAGAAAATCCAAAAGAATAAGAAAATGAATAATAAATAAAAAGAATAAAAAAAAATCAAGCAAAAGAAGCGTAATAATAATAATAATAATAAAAAATGGTCGTTTTGGGTCTAACCTTCCATTGCTACCGAAAAGAGGTCAACTTATGATTGATATTTCCTGTCCGGGAAAGACGAACAGATTCCTCGGTCAATCAAAAAGTTATTTATATAAATCGAAAGGGTCAGTGACATGTGTATGTAAACGTTTGCATATGTGCTTTCGTGGGTGCATACATATCTACTTGTTCAAATAGGACCATGTAATATAAACGTGACTGCACGGCAATAAACCTGAACTTACAGCAGAACATACATTACGATTGAGGCAGGTCTCAAAATGTTGCTTATTATTGACTTTATAGGCGAGTCTAATCCATTATTACTTCATTTGAATTCATTACTTATGGATCTCCTTAGCACGAATTACAACTATATCACGTAGAAACATCAGTTTTTCTACGACCAAAAAAGTTAAGCAACGTCGAGCCTCTTCAGTACTTAAATATGTAACCCCTTGGGAATGCCGGGTTCTGTAAGCTTGAAAGTATGGGTGATGTAATGGATAATGGCTCGGAATGAGAAATCGAAGAGCCGAGTTCGAATTCCAATCGGATTACAGTCACTTTGGAAAGGTATGAATTAATCTTTTCTCCTTTCGATCTATGGGCTAAATAACAGGACAGACTTGATACTATAGGCTTCGTTGGCAACCAGTCTACCGCAGAAAGTAAGGTCTTCAGAATACTTCCGTCAATTCAGTTATGGATCGGAAAGGGACATGGTTAACCAAGCCTGGATCAGGCATGGATCCAAAGGTAGGAATAGATATACTCTGAGTAAGAATCCTTCCAACCTCTTGCGAAACTCAATTTTACTAATGGTAACGAACAAGCAGAATACATACACTGCAGTTCAAAAATTTGAAGCCATCCCAGAATTCGCATGGGATGTATTTGTCAGGGGAGTGTAAAAAATAATAATAATAAAAAAAAAAAACTTTTAGATTTATTACTAAAAAAATGGAACCAATAATGAAATTGTACTTTGAGAAAGTTTTACGACTAATACAAAAAGTTTAAACCGCAGTAATCAGAGCTAAAGGAGGATATTTTGACGAGAGCAAAATTTCATCATAAAAAGCATTTTTACATTTTGCGATAAAATATTTCTAATAAAAATAATGACGCTTTTTTTTTAACCTCGTATAATAATTTTCTTCTCTTTAAGGCACAAAAAAACTATTTGGCG